AAGGCGCTGTATCAAATGCAAGGATTATTATTCTTATTAATTTGCTAATCCTATTCTAGGTTTGCACCAGCTCAAAACATTGATTTTCAGCCTGAAAGGCGCGATACAAATTTAATTTGTTGATACTGTTATGTAAGCTGCGCAGTTTGAGTTTTTTTTTACACAATTGCAATATTAAAGATAACTCTTCAGTATTCTATCTATTCTAAGTCTGAGAGGATGGGCAACGGAATTTGGTTCAAATTCAACTATTCCTTGAATTCTCGCGAAGTGAATTCTGAAGTGGATTCTGAAAATGACAGCAATCAAATATCCCATCCCATCTGCCAAGAAAGCTGAGCAACGAGAAAATAGGATTTGTTTTATTTTCTGTTCAAGTCTCACCGGAACCCGAGGCTTACCGATGGGAATAAAAAAAGAACACATCGTTTATAGCAAGCAGACGTTTTATCCCATTCAAGATTAATTTGTAATTTAGATTTAACCACATCAAAAAAAAATGTCAAAATGTGTTATTTTACCAGGATAACTTTATTTATTTGGAGCTCAGCTGTTTGCTCCATTTTGTGCCCATATTTTCCAAGCTAGGCAATCCATCTAAAACATAATTGATTTTGGAACGCCAGCAAAATATAACGTTAGACAGAAAATATTACTGCGCTTCATTCTTTATTGTCTTCAGCAGTCAGTCTTTGGAGACTCTTATTCCATGAAAAATGCAGATGCATGTTATTTATCCTGCATATTTTATTATAAATAGAATTTTAATGCGCACTCATTATTCTAAATTGTGAGCTTCGTAAAAGATCAAGCCTTGGAAGTTCTTTTCTATCCAAGACGCAGTCGGCTTTCACCATCTCTGCTGACTGAAATGCCTTGGGACGTCCTCCCGACGTGAAAGGCGCTATATAAACGTAATCTTGATGTTGTTATCTTGTTGTTGAAATGACCAAGTTAGGAAATCTGCGTTTGCCCTTCAGGTTCCCTTCAAGTCTGCATTTATTGTGTTGCAAGGGCTGGACCAGCCTTTACTGAAGTCCACGTGCCCCAAACAAGGATAGGGCTTCAATTGCCATCTCTTTTGGAATGATATTTTATGTGCAGGATTACCCTACGATGCTCAGAAATCTGCCTGTTTCAACATGCACAGGGTCATCTCGCTGCATGCCTCAGGCGTTCTCTGCTCTCAGATGCTTAATGGGATACACATCACTATGTAGATGGATCTCCCTGCAGATTTTCACGTCTTACACCTGCAGAGTTGATGGCCTCCTGCAATGTCACTGACTCTGCCAGCACTGACAGAGACTCAAGTCTGAGTGACTAAATTCTTTTGTCTTTTGTCTGACTACTACTAATCTGAAACGCTTTTGCTCTAGAGTTGCCATTTTGGGCACTCTGGAGCAGCATTAATCCCCCCCCCCCCCACCCTGAGCAAAACAAAATATTTTAATTTCCCGAGACTGTTGCCATCTAAATTAGGCCATTTTTGGTGGGGGTTCCAGCGTGGGCAGAGCACGAGGACTGAGCATGCAGAGAAAGACTTCCTGGGAATTCACCTGTTGTCTGAAATTCCACCTTATCGTACCCTGTGAGATTTGCTATACTCTTTGGATATTCTCATCTTGTGGGAACAAATGCTCCTTTGAATTATTTTTGAGACTAGCGAGATCAGGGCATGAGATTCATAAACTGGGGTTAATGGGAAAGGCCAGATAAATGGGACTGAAAGGATTGCTCTTGAAAAAGCCAGACCAGACATGATGGCCAAATGTCCTTCTTCTGTGTGTAAATTTAGGTGGTTCTGTTTCCTACCACTCTCCCGATCATACCTCTTACAAAGTACGTCCTACACTGGCTCAGTCATCCAGGCCAAACTTAATCTCCTCTTGATTCCTTAAATATCGCAGGATCACATCGCTTCAATAGTCTCCACTGAACCTGGAACTTTCCTGAATTCAAGCACTGGATCAAGTGGTAAATTGGCCTTCTCGCAGGTCTGACATTGCCTTTATCCACAAATACCAAACCAGAAGAGAATGGTGATAGGAAAGGCCAGAGGAAGATTTTATAATCTTTTTATTTTTACTCCAAATACATGAAATTAATTAAAATTACTCCATTGCTTAACGATCATAATGTTGAAACTAGTGTCCTTGTAGCCTTCAGGAACAGATGTTCTAAAGTGATGGTGGCTTCATTTAAGATAACTATCTTGCCCGCAGTCCTACAGACTGTTTTTTTGCCAGAATTAAGCATTCGGGGGCTGCATGTGCAGGAGTAATCGAAATGCCACTAATATTTTTAGATTCAAATGTCACTTTTTCGAAACTGTGACAACAGCCCTTCAATAAATCTCTCCAACACATTAAAAATTCACTTCTTGCCCATGGCGGGCAAAAATTGCTGTGGTTTTTATTCATCACACCACACGTTACTGACATTTTAGCAGCACTTTGCAATCACACGATGTGCAAAACCATTTACAGCTGTTTGGTTCTGGATTGATGAATTTACCTGGAAACATTTTAATTTATAAGGCCTGTGGAGGGGAGAGGCGGAGGTTGCTTTAAAACTAACTCGGCAACAAACAGTGCCAGGAGATGAAGTTTAACAAAAAAAAGTGCCAGCTTTGAGAAAATTAAATGTATGTTGATATTAGAGGCAAAAAATAACTTATTTCTGTCGGTGTTATATTGAGTTGAAATTAAATGCACAAATAAATAGTGCCTAGATTGGTATCGAAATCACTGTAAATCCCAATTTATCCCAATTTATCCCAATTTCCGATGTCTTAAATCTAGATCACTTCTGCCTTCGCCGGCATTATACAAATGCAATTTGTTGTTGTTGCAAAGTGAGTCACCTGTGGTTTAAACGTTCACATTTCTGAAGATGAGTCGAGTTCAGAGAGAAAGCAAGATTCTGCAGGACGTGATATTCAAAAAAAAACGAAGTGGAAAAATATATTAAATTCATTATTCAACGGCACGATGAAGGCCAAGCCAGGAGAGTGGTGTCCTATGGAGAGATGTGGCAGCTCACTGAGAGCTGTGCTCCTCCCCTCCTCCCAATGCATTTCAAATGAGTGCTCCAGTGAATTAAAACAATGTCTGTTGTTAATGCAAATTGGAAACTAAAACAAAGCAGGATGTTTCACCAGCAGGAGACTGGCTCAGGCGAGCTGTAGTTTGGCAGCTTAGATGGACAAATACATTTTTTTTCACGTGTCTTAACACTTAAAAGAGTATTTACTAACAGCCATTTTTGTATTTCATGTGAGAAACACGGTTGTGGTATTCCTCAATGTGGAAAATCACGTCAGAGTTTGTCTGTCTGCTTGAGTCTTGCAAAATCCTCACTTTTGCCGAAATATAATCAGCAAACTCCAGGGGAGGGATTTTTTTTCTCTGACTAAAACCTCTGATGTGTGGAAAGGTCTGATGGTTTAACTGGAGCAGGTCACTTAATGCTTAACTGTATTCTTTTGGTTATGAACGTTGGATGCAATTCTCGTTCCCAACAAGCGTGACCTATGCAGAAATGGATAATCCTTGCATTTTGACATAGTGCCTTATCAGGTTTTCTAGAGGCAGAATATATATTAATAATCCGTGCATTTGCTGCAGTACCTGATCACATCGTTGAGACGTCTCAAAGTGCTTCGCACAATATACTGTTAAGTGAATTGACTATGTTTTGTGAACGAAACGCAATAGCCAATTTCACACAGCAGTGTCCCACAAACAGTCATGGATTAAGTGACCAATTTTTTTTTAGGGCTTATTACACCCGGAAAAGTGATCCGCCAATCAACTAACAACTGGGTTCCTACTTACTGCTAGGTAAACAGAGGCTTGGGAGTAAGGAAATATGTCTGATGTTTCGACCTGCCGGGAATCAAACTCGAGTCCTCTCAATTGTGAGGCGAGTGCTCTAATCACTGAGCTACAGGACTCCACTATTTAACACTTGTATTATTTTTGGTATTATTATACAGTTTACATTTCCACCGAGGCCAGTTGGCTTAGATATTAGACGCTGGTTGCCAAGAGCACAATAAGCCATCTTTTTTCTGTGGTTATACACGAATACAGAGACCCAGGTTCAGCAAGTGTTGGCTGACGTTGGGATAAAGGTATCGACTCTTGCATTGGTACAAGCTGTTGGATGATATCGATCATATGGCTTCAGAAGAGGTTTTGATACATTAATGGACTATTTGGTACAAGTTGAAGAAAACCTATATTTTAGTATTTAATATTCTCCCAGTTGGTAAAGAAGTATTGCAATGTCCTACTAAATATGTCAGGCTATACAATCATCTATTGAACTCAGTTATATCTTTGATGCCTGCAAAACATTTACAGTGTATATCTTCTTTGGTTTTTACCATGGACTCGATATTTAACGAACAAAATTAAGCCAGGGGTTGGTTTGACTAGTATACATTCTGACGCATTTTTGAGAATAGGATCGCTGTAGATTTTATTTTTATTTGTTTGAACCAAAATATCGCTTAAGGAACAAAACTGCTTCTTTCTGCCAAAAAAGGTTTTGATGTTTCTCCTGAAAAAAATGCTAAGAGACTCCAGAAGTATTTGCAACTGTCTTGAAATTCCCCGATTGTCAGAGTCTCCCGAGAACACTCCTGGCTGGTGGCATGTATTAGCAAACATCAAATAGCTTTGGGAAGAAATAAACTAATTAGTTGGAAATGCACAATACCTGCTAAACCATATGTGAGGAATTCCCATTGAACTCGAAAGCACCATCCTGTCAAATACAGTATGCGTCTTGATGGTGAGGACAGACGTTATCAGCAGTGGGATAAATCTTGTTTAGGCTGACGTCTAAGTGCTTCCTAACTGTTTTATACATATAATAAAATTGGATTCAGTGCAGTACATCTCCAAGCTCAGTGCTGTACTCGTGTGAAATCAGAGTAAACGGTAAAAACTGGGCAGGCTTTTCCAGGACTCCTCTGGGACACAAGGCGTCTGCTGCAGTGACTAAAAGCTTTGCATCATATTCTGTGCCCCAAAGTTATCCATCTCTAGATAAAAAAATGAAATGCACTTCTGTTCCAATAACAGCACGTCTTGGATCCTTTAGGAACTACTCGTGTAGGTGGATTAATCTTCACGTGTTGCCATTCTTTAGGTTTTGCTGCCGTGACTCATGCTTGTGCGCCCGCCTGAATTGAAGTTCATAGCAATTCTGGGACAAGTCTTGCTCCGGGATTTCGTTTGATCTGCCACGAACTGAAGATGGTACCAAACACCAGGATTTCACTACTATGGCTGCTGTGCTGGTTCAAGTGGTCTTCATCTATTGAGATTCCGCAGGAAGGTATGACTTTTTGAACGTTTTCTAGCAAAATGTAATAGAGATTATGAGTGATAATGTGTAACATTGGGGGACAATGACGGCTGGTGTGTTTGCAATGCTATTTTGGCGGCAGTCTTTCATTCTTGTGCAGCTCAGAGAACGGAATGATCATTTCCTAACAGAAAATGTGGACGTCAATCGGATTTGTTGCATGCACAACACCCCGGCCTGCAATAATCTTACTTAGTATGGGGCACAATTGAAAATTGTTTGTCTAGAGAACTGGCTTGTGTTTGCAGGTCGATAGTGTAACTGCAAAGGTTTGGTTTCATACTGTGCCTGAAATACAAATGGAACAGTATAGAGTGGATACCTGCTGCACTGAATATCCCAATCCATGTATTCAATGATCAGAAGTTAAAGAAAATCCTTTTTTTCCCCCGCACAAACCTTCCCAACTGAATCCAGCCGTGCTTTTGTAAATTCTGCGATCCAGTTACAACCAGCCTCTGACAGACTCGATAAATTATTGACCAGACTGATATATTATTCAGACTTTTAATGTAGCTGCTGGGAACCACAGAATAAATGTTCATTAACGGGACACACAGTCTGTGCAGTGCAATAAAGTGGCCATTTATAATGAGAACGATAACCTATCAATTAATGAAGTGATTGTTACTTTCAATCCTTCTTTTGTGGCTTTGGTGAAACTAATGTCACAATGCACATCACTTGTTTTCTAAATCAGACAAGTTGTTGATATTAGCTTGCAGTTCTCCTTTTAACTACTCATCTGGATAAAACACCTCTGAGTAAATCAAACCTTGTTACAAAAACAGTGGCTAAAACGAAATAAGAATGTAATGTGATATCCCCATTCCCCAAATGTTTTTCAATATTCCAAAGGTTCGGAACATTATCGGATCGCTCGTCTACCTCGGGGGGGGAAAAAAGTGAATTTATCTCTGCTTAAAGTGTTGATTCTAATGAGTTTTTATTTGTGCACAGCAGCACTACGGTGTAATTTAAAGCAAGTTTAGTTAACTTTTTGGGGGTTATTTAGCTGTCAACTGCTGAACTATACCTGCACAGCTTGGATGAGCAATAGCTTCAATTTCTATTGCTCTGGTACTCCAAACATTGGCAGGCGAGGGGCAATCGCAATAAGAACCAATCTGCTGGCAGCACAATTGCTTAGGCAGCTGTTCTGCCACTGCCAACATACAAGTTGTCATTTATCAGTCATGCCTTAACCTTGACCCCAGTTGTACTCTATTACTACAAGTGAACTGTGTGATCTGTTTCCAATTTATCATCCTCAATAACTGTTTGTGCGTATCAAAGACGTCTCAAGAAGTTTCTCTGAGACCGCACCTTTGATCATCTTCCAACCACCCCTCCCCTTGTCCTCCACCCCTCTTGACTCCATCCCTCAGCTTGGGTGCAAACCCTTGACGTCCAGTGCCTTGAGATGTCCTCCCGACATGAAAGGCGCTGTGCAAATGTAATTTGTTGTTGTTGTTCATATAGCGTCCATCAGGTCTCGCTTGCTGACTGAATTGAGGGTACCCTGAATAATACAATAATAAAAATACACTTTTTGTTCATAACAGGAATTCTAAGGGTAAGTTCATTTTTGTTGTGAAATAAAATAACGAGAATAGTACTTTTTTCCTCCCCTCACTGAATGCATTTAACCCCCACTCCCTTTTTTTCCTTTTGCTGGGTGCAGTTCCACAGGTTCCCTTCCGTTCCGTTACCCACTGTTCATTTGTGAGCCTTGTTATTCAGTCCAGAGAGGGAATTGCAAACCATTCCGATCTTCTCCTCATCCCTCACCCACTCCCAGCAGGAGGCCATTGGATAGGAATGGGATCAATGGATTACTTTTCTATCCCTTAACCCAGGGATACAGAGGCCAAACCACAGCATTCCAACCTTTGGGATACAGCATATGAGTAATTTGTGAAAGGTTCTCAAAGCTTTCCACTCTATTGTTGACTAATCCATACAGAATTAATTGCTATCAACATCTCGATTAATGTAGCATGCGGCTGCCAGGATGGTAGAAGGCAAACTAGATGGACCCTGGTCTTTTTTGGTCTAGCAATTCCTATGCTCCTTACTGCACAGATCAAATTAATGGGACTCAAACAGGCAACTTTTGTCTCTTATGCAGAATTAGGAACTTTTATCCACTGGGTCATCAGCGAACTGAGAACAATATCTACACTTGTAATGGTTTAATGTGTGAACTGACTAGCTAACTGAGAATAAAGAGACGTCAGTGGTGAAAATAATTACTTCATGTTACTGGGTTACACTGATTTTCACCAAAATTGTAATAGATTTTTGGATCGGTTTTCCTCCCATTCCCCAGTGTAATTATTTGAATCCTGGGCTGAAAGGCAGTAAGAAGAAACAATGCAATTATTGTGGTGCAAATTCTATTAAATGCATCACAGTAAGTGGATGATAGAATTAGCTGCCTCAGAGTCTGTGCTGCAAAGGTGAGCAGTGAGCATCAAGCACCTTAACTCGCGCTCCCAGGCTGATGGCTGACAATGAATAATTCTTTGAACACTTTAATGAAAGAAAATTCTAAAGTTGTTTGCCCCCTGAATTCCAGCCTGTAAAACCCATTACCTTCTATGAGAGTGGAGTCTTTTTAATCCTCGCAAATGGCAAATAACTTCAATAAGTTTGAATACGAACGCATTAAACTTTCCACAAATTGGATTGGTGCAAATTGTCTTGGAATTGCAAGACCTGCAGACATTATGTTTAGCGGGATTTCTAGAAGCAGATTAAAAAAAAATGCACCTCACAAGATCACGACAGGAATCCAGAAGAGATTTTGGCCATTTCATCTCATCCTTCCAGAAAACCCACCCTATGATCTTCCCGTTGCAGTATCGAGTCGCTCCTTAAAATGAGCCAGCAATCTGACCTCTCTCACTTTGTCCCTATTCACCCTGTCGCAGTTGTTAATTATTTTTTGTGCATAGAGATACTTTCCCACGTTCTGTCCTGAAATTGACCTGGACCTTTTTTTCTGCTGCCTTGGTGTATCCGAAAGTATTGTTCCGTGTTTACTTTCTCACTCCAATTTAATACCTTACAGCACTATTCCTGATATGACGTGATGTGATGAAAGGTTTAACAAGTCGTGAAAAATACAAAACTTATCAACGAGTAAATGAAACGTTCGATAACTAAGCATACTTATTTTGCATCAATGTTCTAATCATGTATAAACCTTTTCCATTTTCCTTTTTTGCTTACCTTGGATCTAAAGCTTTTGCACATGAAAAAAGTAAGTTCTCTTTGTTTTACTAGTTCCTGCCGTCTTCTGGTGTTTGACTATAAGTCTAGGTCTTCCTTGTCTGTATTAATTTGTGCTCAATTTTATGCCCAATCCTGTTGAAATTCTCCGCTTGCTTTTACATGACCTTGCACCTGTATTTTCTTGCCTGGAATTATTTGATTGCAGGTTTTATGGACAAAATGTTGGCCATTGAGTTATTTGTGGCGAGAGGGAGAGTGCACAATGGCCAGGAGGGATTGCAGAAAGCAATCTGATTTAGCAGTTCAAATGATACTGTAAATCGTAAAAGCAAAACTCAAGTGAGTTAGGTCATGTACACCCTAATGAGATTACCAGCCAGCCCGAGATATTGATTTTTGTTAAGATAATGTAGATTGTAAAGTTTATGGAGGTGATGTAATTCCATTTTACGATAGAGTTTATTTACTGCCACATTCAGTGATGACGCTCACCTTTTCCCCGACAGTGAGATTATTCACCGAATTGATTTTACGTAAATGTTTCTTGCCATTCCTCCTCTGTTAGTTAGAACTAGAGACTTTCAGCATCAAATTGGGCCACTGTCATTTGGTCTATTATGTTATTACTGCTACATGGTTTTCGAAACCACTCTATTTTTGTATTAATCTCACACCCAGATTTTACCTCATGACCCTTAATGTTTTTACTGCTCAGTTGCTTATCCTGTTCCCTTTTGAATAATTTCATTGATCTAACTTCCATATTCACTTTTAATAGATTTCTTACCCTAACAGCACTCTTGAGGGAAGAAATGTTTTATATCTACCGCACAATTCCTCTCTAGCAATCCTGTTGGTCAAGGTCTCTTTTCCATGCCACGTTTTTCCCACAAAATATTCAGTCACTACACTTTACAGTATATTCTGTGAAGGGCTTTAGGACGTCTCGAAGACATGGTAAGACGCTATTTCAAATGCAAGGATTATTATTATAATTATTCCGCTGATTTTGTAACGTAGGCTGAGGATCCTTTGAGGAGTGAAAGTTCTTTATAGCTCTGCGGTCAGGCTTAGTGTCGTTATTGGTATACGGTGAGATGCGGAGGTTTCATGCTGGGTGAGGTGGAATTTCAATGCAGAGCTATTTCAGAAAGAGCAAACTTACCCATTCCCTCCTGACACCAGAGACAGCTTCAAAAAAACACTTTGCAGCAGTGGTGGATCAAGATAAGCCACTCTTTTAAACCGTGAAGAGAACCTGTCACTAACAATTGATAGGCCCGTGTAATGTTATTCACAAACTGCTAACTAGGGAATGAAAGGTTACTACTTTCAAATCTATTTCACAAAAAGGTGCTAATGTACCATTAACACCCAAGATGATGATGATGATGCCCCAAAAAATTAAAATTCATTGAAACGAAAGTTGGGATTCCGGGCAAAGAACATTAGAGGTAATTAACGTCTGATGTTACGAAGAAAATGTGTGAAGAGTTTAGACTGGAGACCTAATTAAGACATTACCAGGAGCCCATGGAGATTATCAACATAAGAACCTACCAATGTCAACCCAGTGTAGGACTGGGGGGAGCACAGTATCGGTACAGATGATGTGTTTGGATGAGCCGTTAAAACAACTGCCTTTTCTGGTGCTTCAACTTGACGTTGAGTGTCCCGTGGTATTACTTTGAATCAACAGGGCCCTGTTTGAGTGAATATTGTACAAATTACAAAACAAATTTACATTTATATAGCATTTTTCATGTCGAGAGGATGTCCCAAGGCACCTATCTGCACATGTTATTTGTAGGCTCGCTATCTCTGCTGCTATTTAAACAATGGATAATTAGGAGACCGGTTAACAGTTCTGTCAATTTGTCTCACAGCAGTCTGTACCCAACCTATTTAGAATGAACTGATCACCAGTAGTACCAAGACAGTAAGAAATATATTGCACCAGCCATGATATAAGGTAGAAATCTCTAAAAGTTGTTGGAAAACGTTGGAAAATGAAATCCCGTGCCGTAAAGCAGGGCCACTGAGTGCCACTGCTTGTTTGTCATTAGTGTTAATGGCAGCAACGATTGAGATAATTATTGTGAGATAATTAGCTCGGTGACACAGAAGTGGTCATTATGACATTATATTCTCAATTGAAAGCTCTCCGTGGACAAGCCGGAGACCAGCTTGTCTGCATTGCAGTCTTACCCAAACAGATAAAACTATCAACAGGTGCACATTTTTATGTTTGTTTTATTGGGGGGAGTCAGTTTCAGGCAGAAATTGAGAACATCGTTGGAGCTATATTACAGTCATTAACTGCGATAAACATAACATCTACTGAAATATATCAGAAAACAACATTAACCCAAACCCTTGAAGACAATTTGTCTGCTTGTAATTGTGGGATAGAGACCAGTTATTTTAAGACAGTCCAGATCATTGCTTTGTTGTAAGTGGGCGGATAATAATAATAATAATAATACTTGCATTTGATATAGCCTTTGAGACGTTTCAAAACGCTTCACAGAATATGCACTAAAGTGAATTGACTGCACATATTTTTCTGTGGGCGATTTTCAAGAACCTCATTGGAATCATTCCGGTTAAATCCAGTGACTTCAGCATTGGGACCTCTGCCTTAGAAGGTTACCACTGACGTCATTTCGGGCTTCCAGCACTAAACGGCACATGTGGAGTGCTCACGAGATCAGTCACGACCGATCAGCTGGCTCACAGGAAGCAGTCCGGTCAGCATCAGGTGTATACCACACTTACATAGTGCGAATCCACAAACAACCAATGCTTCTAACGGACTTGCGCAATAAATTAGTCACATTCTAACAATGTCGGGCTGTATTTCTCTAAGATCTCCGCTTAGCTCTTTATTCTTTGTAGTGTGAATATTCCCAGGCTTCCCCCGTAACTCCACCACCCATCTCGTCAAAGCAGTGCCCGCAACCCAGTAATAACTTGTCCAGTCCTGTGGTATAATAGAGCTATAAGTATTCACGCCTGATTAACTGGCTTTACAATTCACGTCCGATTCACTGGTTTTCTAATTCACATCCGTACTTGTTGAGATCACTTGACTATTGACGAGATCATTATATGATACAGAGTCAATAAAAAGTCATTATCATGAGTTGAAACAGTTGTAGGGTTATTTAACCTTAATGGACACTGCAGAACCCAAGTAGCCGTTCATTTTCATCAGCCCACACTCAAAAGAATTGCTGTTTGTTACTCCACGTGATCATTGTTGAAACTGAAATTTAAGTTTGTTGCAATTCCTACTGTTTGCTCTTGGTCTTAACTAAGTGGAGTCCTGTAGCTCAGTGGTTAGAGAGCTCGCCTCGCAAGCGAGAGACCTGGGTTCAATTCCTGGGCAGGGCGAAATGTTGGGCAAGTTTCCTTACTCCACACGCACGCCTCTGTTTACCGAGCAGTAAGTAGGAATCTGGTTGTTAGTCGATTGGCGGATCGCTTTTCCGAGGGTAATAATCCCTTCAAACAAAAATAATAATTTAGTCACTCAATCCACAATCCACGACTGCTTGTGGGACAAATTCACTTTGCAGTATATTCTGTGAAGGGCTTTGAGACGTCTCGCAGACGTGATAAGACGTTACATCAAAATGTAAGGTTGATTATTATTATCCTGTGACCCTCTTTGAGTTTGTGGAATAAAAATGTTAATGGGGGGGAATTCTCTTGGGTTGCATACAATAATCATAATATCGTATGCAATGATATTTTCAGTTTTTGGTGCATATTTATGAATCATAATCCAAATGGGAAATCAATTGATGAAACCGTTCATTAAGTAATTGGAATCCAGCGTTCCAGCTATAAAGGCCAACTCTGCAACTTCGTCCCCTTAATGGCTCGAATTTATGTGAGGTGCTTGGATATTCTGCTCACGCAGCCTCTTTAAAAAAAAGGAAAATGATTTGGCTATTAAAGAAGCTGCTTGACGCAGTAATGGATTCTGAATTATTTTATCGTCTCACAATCCTGGTGAGCAATTACCTCATTTCCCTTTGTTTCCTTTCCAGTTGAGCAGCCACCAACTATAACTGAACAGTCGCCCAAGATGCACATCGTATATCGGATTGATGATTACAGCATCAAGTGTGAAGCACGAGGAAACCCGCCACCAACGTATGTGCTTGACGCTCGTGTGTTTGTGCGTGTTGTGTGTGTGCTTTATTTTAAACGCGGCATTATCTCTCTCATCTCAGGATGTTCAAGGTCAGAGCTCAAGGGCTAGGCTGATACGCCAGCGCAGTACTGGGGCAACACTGCCTTGTTGTAGATATCATCCTTTCGATCAGTCGTTAAACTGAGATCCCGCCTGACTCTCCTTACGGTGGACGTCACATTTTCATGGCACTATTCGAAAACAAGAAGGGAGTTTTTCCCAGTGTTCTGACCAATAATCCTCCAGACAAATTGGTCATTCATCTCATGGCTGGTTGTGGGACATTACAGTGCATAAATTGGCTGTCGTGTTTACTTACAAACAAACTTTCAGTACACTTGACCGTAATTGCCTGTGAAGCGCTTTGAAATGTTGTGACATTAAAGATGCTGTACTAAAAGCCTGATCAATATTCCTCCCTTATATGCCTGTGACATTGGGTCATTTATGCCATTGCTGCTTGTGGAGGATTGCTGGCACAGTTTAGCTGCTGTGCTTGACTACATACCTACCACACAGATAAAAGAGGGCATTCACTGCACGGCTGCTCGTGGAACCATATGGCAAATTGGCTGCCAAGTTCACCAATAAAATACACCGTCACTACACTTTACAGTGAATCTTGTGAAGTGCTTTGAGATGTCCTCCTGACGTACAAGGTGCTATAATCAAATGCAAGGATTGTTATCATTATCATCATTACACTAGAAAGTCACTTGTTGCTTTATCAAATGTCGATAATAGTCTTGGGATTATTTCCTTGGCTTTCGGATTTTATATGCTGATTGTGCTCCACTGTGTTTCTAATTTAAGGGTTGGAGTTGTTATCTGAGTACTTTATCTGTCACGAATTCCAGTAACTTGGTCTCTATTCTATCACAGGTTTCATTGGACTAAAGATGGTAAAGATTATGACCCATCGAAGGACCCGAGAGTGGACACAACCTCAAACTCTGGAACATTCATCATCAAAGCCAGCAACGGGAACGTGAAGAGTTTTCAAGGGAAGTATCGCTGTTACGCCAGCAACAGCCGGGGAACAGCTATATCTGAGGAGATCGAGTTTATCACAGCACGTGAGTTCTTTGTTCGGTTTTGTTTCTTCTCAACAATTGTTTTTGCCAAATTCGCAGGCTCACTGGGTAGTTTTTTTTAAAAAAAACGATGAATCTTTATGTGTGTTCCAAACCTAGATGGACTTTATTAAATGAAGACCACTTTGGTTCTGTTCTCAAAGCAAAATGTTCTTTCAGGGGTGGAGGGGTGGTGGGGGGAGGAAGTACTGCCACCTGGTGATGTGATAGGAACAGTGAAAAGCTATGCCACAATGCACAGTTTGTGTGTACTTTAACACAAAGCATTTCAAGATCTTTTGCACAGTACAGTTTATTATGGAGTCTGATTTTCTTAACGGATTCCTAAATAAGGGAACCTGTTAGAATCTGTGTCGACCCATTAGGAACTGTGTTTTGCAGAGAAACTGTTCAGAGCAGATTTTAGCTGCGTTAATAATTGTAGGCATTCGCCTAACAAAACACACAGTCACTGCACTTTACAGTAAATCCTGTGAAGTGCTGTGAGACCTCTTCCTGAAATGAAAGGCACTGTATCAAATGCAAGGACTATTTATTATTATTATAATATCGCAACAGAATCATGGTTAAAAACAAAAGCCCTCCATCCCCCAAAGTACCATTCCTAATTGGATATACGAAGCGAAAATTTCTGCGTGAAGTTGGCCTTTGAATCTTTTCCTCGACAGTAGCCCATTTATATCAGTGAAAGCAGAATTATTGTTGCTTTTAATACCAAAGGGAACTGAGAATATTGGATTTTTTCTCATTATAGACACACGTGCCTTTTTAAAAAAAAATCCAATATGTGGATTTGAGTTCCGTTTTCATAGTGAAATTGAGTCCAATCATAAAGATGTGGTAGGCGATTTTATTCCTTGGATTATGAGTAATAACACTTTGTGATCTTTATGATCTGAAAGGTAGATGAAACCCAGTATAAGCTACACACCAGATGAATTTCATTATAAAAACCGAGGCCAAGTTTCATGCTGTGGATTTATTTATAAAATTAATTTGGAATGAAAAATATTAAACTCGATATATTTAAATCTTTCTCAGAAGCCGCAAGCTTGCTTCTTGAATATGGTTTCACTGGAAACCAAAGAATACAGTAACATGCAATAATTTACTGATCAACTCGAAAATGTTCTCATAAAATTGCCTTCCATATTTAAGGCTGAATAACATTGATATTTATGCTTCCATTGGGAGACCCCATGATGCACTCACTATTTTTGATTGGAAATCATATTAAAATGTCTATATGAAGCATGCGCTTGTCCAGAAGTGTTCAATCTCCAATTAATACACACACATGGTGGCTCGTCTGATCTTATATGATGCGTGACTTATCCAGACATGTAACAACAACAACTTGCATTAGTACAGCCCCTTTCATACGGGGCAGCATCATGGAGGGCTTGTAAACCAACGATGTAAATCTTGTGATGAAGTGAAGGATCCTGAGGGCAGAGCACTACCATCAGCAAGAGCAGGAGCGAAGGCAAGATCAGTCCAGGTGTAATGGTTAAGTGAGTCCAATCTGAACTTTGGAAAGCTTGGAGACTGCGGGAGGAAGGAAAGACTGACAGAGACAAGGAGCTCCGTAGTCCTGAGGGCCTGGGAAATCATGAGCTTTGGTTTCAAGAGGAAAGGAAGGAGCCAGGTGACGCACCAAGAGTTTTTACAGAGCCCTTAATTAGGGAGATGGTCCCATGTCGCTGTGTGTACAGAACTCCAAGTATGGAGGATTGGGCAAGGGTGTGCTTGATATTACAGTTTCCCACTCGGCTCAGCATCTACCTGATAGAAGTAATGAAGTTTTGTTCACAACACTATTGGATGTCCTTTGCTGCCAGATTCTTCATGCTCCACATGAGGCAGAACACAGTGCTCAATATTGCACATCAAGGCATGTAGGCATTTTAGTTTATCTTAAATGAAGTAAAATAATCTGAACTTTGCTCAGCTTCTCGTTCAGGTGATGAAGCTCCTGTGGGTTTCTAGTGTTTAACAAAGTGTTGTCAAGCTGTTCACTTCAGTTGAAGATCTTTAGAGACTGTGTGGTGTTATGCTTTTGAAAGGCTGGAACCTGGTTTGAAAACTGGATCAGACAGATGGGGAAGTCTTTGCGTTTTAATGAGTGTCGAGGCTTGTAAATTTAACTTTGTTTTGACAGGTTCAGTTCATTTCCCAATGGTAAAAAGCACAAAGCATCAAAATGCCAATATTTTTTTTCAGCACCATTATTCTTTAATGAGCTGGAAATGCCACAACATGAAACTTTCTATAAAGTATATGTATCCAGTATTGGTTAAGAATATAATATTCCGGTCTGAGTCTTTATCATATAATTATGCTGTTTAAGAATTCAAGCTACGAGGGAATTTGGAAATCTCTAGAACAGGGTCTAATTTGAGGTATTTCTTAATGGGATTCCTTAATAAGGAATCAGAGCAGCCAGAAGTGCATCACACAAAATTTGGCTGTGGGGTGACTTTTTTTCCAGAGCAGAGTTCCCGTCAGTCGACAGAAATTCCAGCGGGGTTTATGATCAAGGAGTTCCATTAAAAATATCGCAAATTAGACCCACGTACATGACGTGGAGGAAGATAAAGTATTGCCTTGAAATCAAACCTTATAAATGTTGCATTTTTAAAAAATTAATGAGACGTGCTATGTCAAGTGCAAATATACCAGACTACTAATAATAACAGCGGCAAATACTGTTTAAAAATGTGGCTCCATCGTGCTGAGGTGTGTCAATTGTTTAGATGTGTAAAAAGAAGGTGCTCTGTTCATCCTTTAACCGAATAACAAATACCTTCCTCTCATTCTTTCAGCCATCCCCAGATTTCCAAAGGAGACCATTGCACCCATTCAGGTAGAAGAAGGGATGTCAGTGGTATTACCTTGTGACCCACCCAATGGAGCACCTCCATTGAACATTTATTGGATGACAACCTGTGAGTATATGACTGACACTCGAGATCAAGGACTATAATGCAGTAAAACCCGCAGTAAAAATCAGATCTGTATATAAATTGTATAATCAACTAAGTCATACATCTTCAAAAGAAATGTGGTCGCTCAGTCCACGACTGTTTGTGGGGACGCTGCTGTGCGCAATTGGCTGCCGCGTTTTGCCCACAAAATACACAGTCAATTGACATTAGTTTATTCTGTGAAGCGCTTTGAGACGTCTCGAAGACGTGATAAGGCACTATGTCAAATGCAAGGAATATTATTATTATTATTATTACCTGACCAAGTCCTGTTCAAGAGTTTATATTCTAGGCATGTTTGACATAATTCAATGTTTGCATAAGTCATACAGGTCCTGCGATTTATGTGCAATAAGATTTTTACAAAGGTCAGTATAATTGTAATATGGCTCTCATTTTAGCCCTTAATGGTCTGTGATTTCCATCACCAGACCTGTCTTGTGCTCTCTCCTAAATGACAGAGCCAGGGATCAGAAATAACTAACACTCTCACGGGCACATGACCCGCTATTTAGGTTTTAAAAAGCCACAGGAAACCTCAGCAGTTCAAGGCATCTTATATAGTTTGACTGCTCAGTAGTAATGCGAATAATTGCACAATTGTCTAAAACGGTTTCACATTTTTGGTCAGATTTGGAAGCAAAATTTAAGTCTAAATTGCAGTATTTCGTAAGGGTACGTTGCACAGATGTCAACCCACGACAACTCCACTCTGACAGAGTCTATCGATTGCCGAGTGGATTGACAGGTTTTCGAGATGAATATCTTATCAAAGGATTCTTTTACGAAATACTGCAAATTGGGTGGACCGCGTGCAAACAATTTCCTAATTGATAATGTGTTGCGTTAATCCCTGTTAAGTCACTGTTATGGTAACAAGACTGTTTGACATGAAGCCTTTTTCTTTTGCAGCAATGCAACGTATAGAGCAGGACGGGAGGGTGTCCCAAGGACTCAACGGAGATCTGTATTTTTCAAACGTGCTAGCAAGTGATGACCGTGCTGACTACTTCTGTTTAGCACAATTCACGAGAGCCAGAAACATTGTACAGAAAGAGCCCATCCGACTAATTGTTAAACCTTGTAAGTTCGCTTGCGTTTACTTGTTGCTCATTTCCACTCGCAGTAATGTACCTTATACAGAAAGGTCATAATAGGGAACTCCTATGATTATAGATCAAGAAGTGGGAAGCCAATGGGATGTACAACACAGGGGAAAATACAGCTCTTCCACATAGTCTTAGCCAACAAGTTCATTTTGCTTTCAAATTCAAGACGGCCAAGAATCGTGGAAAATGTGGCAGTTTTGTCTTAATTTGGAAGCTCATTCTGTTCAGACCTGTGGAAAACTAGTACTCTGAATTGAAGAATTGTTCACAATTTTGCACGCTCTTAAAATCCAAGGCAAAATGGTCTCATATGTTAAGGCTCGTGGAGTCCTGTAGCTCAGTGGTTAGAGCACTCGCTTTGCAAGCGAGAGACCTGAGTTCAATTCCAGGCAGAGGGCGAAACCTTGGGCAAGTTTTCTTGCTCCACACGCCTAATAATAATCCCTCCAAAACCAAAAACAATAATAAATTGGTCATTTTCAATCTACGACTGTTTGTGGGACATTGCTGTGCGCAATTGGCTGCCGCGTTCGCCCACAAATATACAGTCAATTCACTTTACAGTATATTCTGTGAAGCGCTTTGGGACGTCCTCCCGACGTGAAAAGCGCTATAACAAATGCAAGGATTATTATTATTATTATTATTATAAGGCTGGGTGGAATTTTGAGTCTTGAGACATGCCCTGTTTGCACGGCGGTTTTCCAACTCCTGCCCATCACCTGCTCCACATTCACAAGCTCTCATCTTCCAGTTGTGTTTCCAAATCCCTCCCTCCCTCCCTCCCCGCATGCTGTTTGTACATTTCATTTTTCTGTTGGTCAGTTTGAGTTTTGTCATGATTTCTATTCCTCCCATTGTATTTTGTTTTCATTCCTTGTTCATATTCTTTTATTTGTTCCAGTTGTACTTCCTAATGACACAGAGTCACACGGTATTGACTTACAGGCTGGTGAGTTCTCTTAAATTGGAGCGTAGCCTTTCAAGTGCTAATCCCAGCAAGAGTTTACTAACAGCTTCTTATGCTTCAAGCTCATGCTGTGCCCATCATTATTTGGTACAAAAGAAACAGGAGCTAATATGTGTTGTTTTTACTTAATTAGCATGGCATTAATTAATATTGCTGTTAATTATTTATGTGATTTGCGGGATTTGTGTCAACCTTATGTTGCAAGATTCACACTGAACATGGTGTGATGCACAAGTGGCCAGTCATGGCAATGACTCCTCATGTTTTCCCCCTTCCAAGCAACTTGGGTCGTCCTCCCGATGTGAAAGGCACTATACAAATGCAAAGTTGTATTGTATTCCCCCAAGTGTTAGCTCTGATTTTCATAACCACCATGTTTTTAGGGTTATTGCCTGGCCAGATGTTAACCGACCTGGTTGTTTTCTGTACTGGGGGAGCCAGGTTTTGCAACCGGTGGGCAGAGGTCGGGGCGATGGGCCATTAGTGGTGCCACCTAACCATCATTCTCCACACTATCTCATACCCTGCTCCGTCTCTCTCACCATCACTCTCTACGCTGTGTGTCACGAGGTTGTATGAGGCATGAGGCAGCAGCTCAGAGAACAACGGGAAGAGAGCTAGAGCTAGGTAAGACATCATACGTACACCTGAAGGCAACGCCCTCTGCCAGCCCTGTTGCCTCCGCCAATGCTTGCCGTTTGCTAGCAAAAAGATTCAGCTGTTTTTTGTTCATCTCAGAGATGGCAAGGCTATTTTTAATTGGCAGATTTTTGATGGAACGTTTAATTTCTGGAGAGTGATAAGTTCTTTTTCTGGTTTAATAGTTGCTTTTCGAGCTGAATCTAATAAAGGCCGACAAAATTAGCTCTATCCCCAGCTGAGAAATATTTTTTCCTTCCTATTTGAGAGCAAGGCTTCCACTGGAGCTAAGGACTGCTGCCTAGTGGCCATATTGTGTATCACCTACGTTTGGTTTGTAATATTCAGTTCACATTAAACCCTACAAATTGCGATGATAATTAATGCCGGTGTCGATATACATTGGCACGAATGAAGGAAAGATGCAAATGTCATACCTAAAGCTGCTAAAACACGGGGATTGTAGCCTGGATTCGCACAGGATTCGTAAATGTTGAATCCTGTAAAATGAAAGCCGTAAAGTTCGATCCTGCACAACCTTAAGAATCATGCTCACATTTGCCGTTTACCAAGTACGATTGATTTCTTTTTTACAGTCAGCCGGGTGTCTGACACACGCAGAAACCCATCACCGTTGCTTAAGAGCACCCAAACCAAGCTGAGAATCCCATTCATCCCACCCACACGTGGAAATCCCAGAGATAGATTGTTGGAATGGAATGTGCGCTCTCTCCCTGGAGGACCACATCCTGTTTGCCTAAAGTATAAGGCACAGGTTGGCAAGAGCCAAGGCTTGGGGACCCCAGAGTGTACGTTGGGGTAACTACTGGATTCTAACCAGCTAAAACTGCATAGCTTGCCATTGATAGCACTGTCTGGCAAGTCTAACTGACAGGAGGGTGCAGAGTGAAGGAGCTTTGGGTTATGTCTGACTTTGACTTTGCCAGTTGCTTGTGGGCGCCCAGTGCACTTTGACAGAACAGCAGGTTATAGCTGTGCCCAGATTCAGCGAATGTGGAAAACGTTAATGTGCTGATTATAACAATCTGTTTTTAATGAGAATACACATCGCAAGGAATGAGCCTTCATTTAAATTGCTATCTGTCTTGTTCTCTCAATAACAAGGAGGTCTGTATATTAGGAGGTTGTAATTATTATTCTGTACACCAGAAACCATTTTACTTCGGATAAAAACATCATTAGATTAACATAATTTGGCAACTATCCCACGGCATCGCAGTTGTAAAACTCCTGCCAATAAGAAGAATGAGCTGCTTTCAGCATTTCCCATGTTTCTGAGTGATTGAAGGTCTCACAGTGTTCAAATGAAAGGCAAGGGCCGCAATTAAAGGAGAACTCCGGTTTGCATTGAATTATCTTTCTCAATCATGGTGGTTATATTTGTAATTGATTACTGCCTCGGATTGGCATTTCCAGCTCAAATCTAATGATAATTAGCGCTCAGTGGGTTTGGCGGACAATTAAACATTGTTAGCCGTTTGATCAGTGAGGATTTCACGTTCTTGCAAGCTCTGCTTATTGAAGCGAGGTTTCGATTCCTTTTATCCAGCAACTTGATTTCCAACTATTCTGCATTTCGTCTCAGACACTAACCAAAATTAACCCCAAATAGCTTGTGTTGTGCCTTACTCCCCTCCCACCAAAGTTCTTCCTTTGCCCCTTCTAATTATTTTGACTCAATCAGGCCTGTGATTTATTTATTCGTTGATATTAAATCAGCCAGAAAGGGCCGTTCAGATCCAATTGCCTTTCCTTCACAGCAAATTCGATCGAGAACCGAGGGCCTCGTCTCCTGTCGCCGTCCGGCAGCGTGTCCAGCGTGATGGCGCTGCGGGGAGATTCTCTGCAGCTGGAGTGCATTGCTGAGGGCCTGTAAGTAGCTGGAAAAGCTAAGTATAGAGTTCCGCCCTCTGATCTCCCCACCCTCCCTTGCCCTCCACCCCTCCCGATCCCAACCCCTTAGCTCTTGACTGACATCCTCCCGACGTCCCGAAAGACACCTGTACAAATGCAATTTGTTGTTGCTGTACAAAACATGGAAAAAAAATGCCAATCATATCAACTTCCTCCACAGCAAAGCACTTCATCTCATTGTTGTTTATTGGACGACTTTGCTGGTGCAGATTAGGCTGCGCATTTCTCTGTATAACAGCTTTCACTTCATTTCTAATCACTTTAATTTGTGAAGCGCTTTGAGGCGATTGTTTTAAGGTGAAGTACGCTATATAATTGAAAGCTGTTGTTATTATTAATCAGAATTATATTCAATTCAACTGAATCCGTTACATTTCAATATCACCATTCAGACCTGTTTGGAGCTGAAGGGTTGCTTTGATGTGAATTGAATATTCACGGGAGACTTTTATTCCCTTCACAGCCCTACCCCAGAGGTCTTCTGGATCAAGCTTGATGGTGAAATGCCAGAGCACAGAGTAAGACGAAAAAACTTTAACAAAACCTTGGAGATACTTAACATAACCGAGTTGGATCATGGTAAATACCAGTGCAAAGCTACAAACCCATCTGGAAGCGTGACTCACTCCTTCTCAGTGACTGTGGAAGGTACTGTATGAGGTCTCAATGAACATTGTCACATAGTCACTAAATAGTTCTTGTTTTGGTGCGTATTCTGAATTTGTGAATAACATTATGTCCAGTGGCGTGCTTTACCGTTTCCACCCATTTCATTTCTGTGCCAGATTTCCATTCCAAAAACTAATCAGATTGTGCAGCATCAGTGAAGGGTACTTGCCTAGAACGTATGGAGTCACTCCACTTTTACGCTTTGAGACGTCCTCCTGACACCAAATTGCAAGGATGATTATCATTCATCATTACTGCCTTTGCGGTAGAATATTTTTGGATTATAGAAGGCCACGCTTGGAGAAAATGCCCATAAAGAAACTTAAGTCTGATCACAACCCCACACTCGCTATATTTTTAGAGCATGCGCTCCCTCTGGTGGATATCATTCATAGTTGTTGGATCCATCATCAATTTAGCAGCGAAAGTGGTCAGTTGAGACATCCTTAGGCTGAAAAATACACACTAGTTCCTATTACGTGCGCATTTGATAAATTGTAATTTTATTGAGTAATAAATGGTTGGAAACAATCCAAGCAAGTACCTATAACGTCGAATATCTTAAAGCGCCTTACAGTAATTCCCGTTGAGTGCAGTGACAGCTTAGATGTCGGTTAAGGAATGGCATATTAACTTAAGAAAATGATTGTAAAGATTATGAACTTCAGGTGACGTACATATCAGAAGTCCATGGTTTCAAAAAGTCTTAATAATAATAATCCTTTCATTTCATATAGCGCCTTATCACGTCTTCGAGACGTCTCAAAGCGCTTCACAGAATACACCGTAAAGTGTAATGACTGTGTGTTTTGTGGGCAAAATTAATAACATTGTCTTAAAAATTAAGATGGTATGGTTAAGGACAGATCTTAAATTCAAGCTTAATTTGGGTGCTTGGTTTTCTGCAGTGTTAGCTATTGCAGTTTCTCTGCTCTAGCCAACCTGTTAAGAACAAACTCTAATGCACCAGTGTGATATAGGTGTCTGAGTTACTATAGCTTTGAGCTCACGACACTGAGAGTTGGGCTGAAATTATCTACAGCTCAGTGTGTAGAGGAGATCCCTTTGCAAGTAGAGAGGGAAGGGTTAAGATAATATGCCATTCAAATCCAGGTGTCCGAGACAAAGGGACAATGCCAGAAATACTCATGGTAATCTTTTATTTGGGTCATGAGAATCAATGAGGATTTTAAAAAAAAAATTAGATCCAACAAAGTACAAAGTTTGTAGACTAACCGTATCCCATTTGCAGGTGCGCAGGGGATGGATAAGAAGCAAACTGGGAAACTGCTCGATTGTTTGACCCAATTCTTGTTTTGTGGGCTTTCTCTTATTTAGCTGCTCCTTACTGGATCAAGAAACCCGAGAACAAAATAGCAGTTTCGAAAGAAAATGCCCAGATAGTTTGTGAAGTTGGAGGCCACCCTCAGCCTGGCGTTCACTGGAAAGTCAACGGGAAACTCATGAACGGTAAGGCAAGAGACAGACAAGCGAGATGAGTGTCGCTGAATGGGGAGAAATAAACATTATTCAAAAGAAAATGGTAATTTCCTTTTGAAAAGAGGGAAAGTTCAAACAATTATTTTTTGCAACTACTGGATGACACCACGTTTAGGGCCCATAATACAGTAAACCTCACATAAGTCGTATCAGTTAGGACTGTAGATTTAATATGACTTATGCAAAGTTTGAGTTATGTGAAACTTGTTAGAAGCAATTGAACGGGACTTGGGCAGATGTATGACATAGGCGAGTATACGATTTACACAGATCAGACTTGTGTGGGTTTTACTGTATTAGACCCGATGTTACACAAATTGGCAGACTTGTAATTCAAAGCGAGTGCTGTAAATCTTGAGTGTAATCCCAGAGAGAAAGATTTCAATCACTCTTAGTGAAAGCAGAGACCTGAAACTAAATTTACCCCGAGATCCTGTTTCGTTTTAAAATTTACATTGTACAAAACTCTCAAATTCTTCAATTCAGTCTTAATTTGAAGCCAGTTCTTTTTACGACTGAATTTAAGAGATTTCAAATATTCTGCACAATCTTAAATTATAAAAACAGTAAGATTAAGACTTGATGGAGCTTAACCCCCCACCCCCCCACCACATACATATACACATATACACACATGTACACACACACACACATATACACAGACACACACACTGTCACCTGCAATAAACTGAAGCTCCTTGACAGTGAACTTCCATCAGTTTCATTGCTTTCAGACTTAGATTTATTACCACAAGCTATCATGAGATTATATTGCACAGTCTTTGCTTTGAGTGATAGCCTGGAGCTGGGTTACAGGGTTAAGATAAGGTTTTGAGGCTTTTTTTGTTGTTGCAAAAAATCGATTGTTAAATGACCAGGGCTGGATGTGATTGACGACTTTGCTCCACTCCAACTAGTTCGAAACCTTTGTCGATGGAGCTGAATTGTGCAATAAAGGCTGGACCGTGAAACCACTGACCCTTCACATGATACTGTGCCTTTCGTTTGAAAAGAAAGCACCAGTGAAGATAACACAGCTGGAGCTAAGCCTGTGTGTCTGTGTGTGTGTGTGTGTGTGTGTGTGTGTGATTATACACCTCGCTATTACAAACGGTTAATATTAATATCAAATCTATTGCACTCCTGTGGACAGAAGAGCAGGATTTCAGCCACGAGTTCACGATTGGACTTTTGTTGGGCGAGTAACACACAGGTCAGGATTTCAACTGCACGTGTCTTTGGGTCCATAAAACCGCATCCAAAAATATTCGGAAGAAAAAATGGCTGTTAATCCCACTTCCGGGTTGTCAGGTCGTTGCTCATGGTACTTATGGGTTCTGCCACGGTTTGGCTCGCTTCCTGAAAATGGTTGCTAGGGCAGTCATCCAGCAGTTGGCATCAGAAACCAGACGCACATTTTAACCACAGCCCCGTAGGACACCTGCTCAATTGAGCACTTGTAGTCTGAGGACGTGAATGAATAAATATATTTTAGATGCTAAATGCAGTTCCCACCTGCTTGATTGAGTGGATTTGGCAGGCGAATTGTTTTACATGAGGAGTATTCAGATTGCTTCAGCAATATCACACTGTTTTACATAAAACAGGGTCAATCTTTTCAATCTGTGACTGCAATTTGCTGGATAAATGAAGTATGTTACCAGTGGAATAGGTGTCAGGTGCAGATATTGTATCGTATAACAAGGGACGAGGCAAGAGCCTGGGAATTAAACAGACTAAGTGTTAAGTGCTGAGAAAGATGCATTGAAGGAATCTTTTGGGACCTTGGAAGAGTAGATGAGATTGACAGATGGTCTACTTCTGCCTAAAACTTAACTGTGTTACTATTTTGGTATGTTACGATGGTACAGTGGTGACCTTCCCCTTCGATCGTGCTTACAGTTACCTCCTTCTTCCCCCGAACTCAGGCGTCAAGCTCCGCCACTGTAAGCGCTCCGAGGGCTATGTAAATGCAAGTTGTTGTTGCTGTCCTTTGATAAAGGTTTGACTTTTCAGATAACTTCCCCAGAAATTATTTAAGTAGCTGAAAGCAATATTCTTGCCCAGCATCTTGAGCTACCAGAAAAAAAACAATAGCAGCGTGAAAATGAAAACCACATTCGACCCAAACCGATAACTTCTGGAATATCTTTTTATGTATTACAGAGACGAAGCCCATCATTAATCGTAAAGTCTCTCAAAACCTGATCAGTCTTACAAATCTGCAGCTGAATGACAGCGCTGTTTATCAGTGTGAAGCTTCTAACAAGCACGGATCCATCCTTGTCAACGCTTTCGTCAATGTTCTCAGTAAGTGTCAATTCTGAATGATGACCACGTATGTTATTTTGCCCGGAGACTGTATTTGTCGAGCTCCCAATGCAGTCTACAAACTTACCCACATCCAAACTGCTGGGAGCGTGTCTGATTGGTAGTTTGCTTTCATCAATAACTTGTCAATTTCAGCACATTTAAGGTGTCAGAAGATAGAATTGAAACAAAATGTCAGTGGATAGTTGAAATTGTTTGTTAGTTATACCAGCCGACTTTTAATCATAAGACAAATGAGTTTAATAAATGCTGAAGAATGAGTCATGTAAATTACTAACTAATCTTGCACAGCTAACAGAGGTTTCCATTTTATCCTAAAGATGATAATAATAATCCTTGCATTCGGTATTGTGCTTTTCACCTCAGGTGGACATTACAGAATATATTGTAAATTGAAGTGACTGTTTTTTGGGTGAACATATAAAAGGTTTTAACTGTAATGTGGAATGACCTTAAAACTGGTATTTAGGTTTCAAGCTTAATTAAAAATGGAAAGTAAAATCCATTGCTAAATAAACAGACAATTTACAAATAGAAAATATTCTATGATTTCAAAGTACAATGGATCTTATTCTATGTTAGCCTATTGAACACTGTTGATGAGACAAATTCATTTTGATATCCGAATCATTATCTGTTTGGAGAAATCGCTCAGAAAATGTGATACCTGTCACATCAACATATGTTTAAACCTCAATAAACCATCTCCTGACAAAACAGTTACCCCCAGAGGCAGTTTACAGTCATTTGGACAGATTTTAACCAATGTTGTCTCCAGATTAGAAATGATGGTGTGGAAAACAGAAGTATGAAACCAATAATGATGTGGATTGGAAAGAGAGGATAGGAAAACAAGAAGGAAAACTAATGTTTTTTTTATAACTATTTTTAATTGGGATTTGTCAAATCAATTCCACATTGAACGTTTCCATTCAATCTTAACTCGGAAGCTTGTTTTGTGTCGAAATTCCTAAAATGATCCAACGTCCAAATTAAGACTGGATTTAAGAAAGGGGAAAGAGCGAGCAAGTGGGACTGATTGGATAACTCTTCCAAAGAGCTGGCACAAGAATGATGGGCCAAATGGCCTCCTTCTATGCTGTAATATTCTATTATTCTATGATTCTAAGAATTTTCCACAGTTCGGCATGAACTTACATTTTAAGACCAAACAGTCTTTCAGGCTAAGACCAGGTGAGATTCCAGGTCTGATAAACGTTAATCATTAACAGTCGTATTTTGTATTTGGGTGGATGTTAATGGCAAGAGGTCCATTGAATGAACGTATTGCAAATTGATCCACAGATCTTGCTCCAATGATGCTAACCCCTGATAACCAGGATTATATCGCAGTGGAAGGCAAGGTCACGTTCCTGCATTGCAAAGTGTTTGGCTCACCAGCACCCACAGTCTTTTGGTAAGAACGTATTTGCTTTTCAATACACTTAGTAGCTTCTAAAGGCTGCTTTAGAATAACCCACCTTATTATGGATCGCTGTCAATAAATTTCTTTCAAGGGTGGTTAGTATCTGGTTTTTGACTTGTCCAGGTTAAAAGAAGACATGGAAACTGCTCTCGAGGGACCAAGATATAAGGTGCACGAAAATGGTACTCTGGAGATAGTAGATGTTTGGACAGAAGACGCAGGATTCTATACTTGCTGGGCAACAAATTCACTGGGCAATGACACCACAAGTGGCATGTTAGAAGTCAGGGGTAAGTCTGTGTCTCCTTAAAACACCGAGTTTTATTAATGTTGATTTATTTACATGTCTACAATAACAGCAACAAGATTACATTTGTATAGCGCCTTTCATGTCGGAAGGACGTCCCAAGGCGCTGGACAGTGTACAGCATTTCAGACCCGAGCTGGGATCAGGGAGGGAGAAGGGAGGGGAGGAGAGGGGAAGGGGGGTGACCGATGGCATGGTCAAAGAGGAGGGTTCTGAGGCGGGACTTGAAGGAGGCTAAGGAGGGGGCGAAGCAGAGTGATTAGGGAATGGAATTCCAGAGGTTGGGGGCAGAGTGGCTGAAGGCTCTCCCGCCGATAGTGGGGCGGGTGGGTCGGGGGACATGGAGCCGTCTGGAGCCGGCTGAGCGGAGGGAGCGGGCGGGTTGGTAGGAGGTTAGGAGGTCAGAGAGGTAGGGTGGAGCGAGGCCATGGAGGACTTTGTAGGTGAGAACCAGGATCTTGAACTGGATCCTCTGAAGGATAGGGAGCCAATGGAGTCTAAATGTCTAAATCCATTCCTGAAATTTGTAGGTATCAACGACCCTCTTCAAGTCACGTGTAAATGCAAATTCTTGTTGTTGTTGTTGGGTAAAGGAATTCTTCCAGTTGTCTGTCTTAAAATTCCCCATTTCAAAATTGAATTATATGCCTACTTTACAAACTAAATTTAAACTTGAAGTGGGTTTCACTGTCAGTCTGTTGTATATAAATCCCAATGGCTGCATTCTGCTGATGTTCGATTAGGTACAGTTTGAACCACAAAGAAAAAAAATATCCGCAACCAGTATCTGTAGATGACGTGAGGAGTGGAATAAAATGCTTTAGGTTTTTTGCAGCTGGAAAAGAAGTGGCCTAGTAGGAGAACCGCCACTTCGTAGTAATTGCAGTAATTTAGCACAGGCAGTGAGTCACGCTGGGAATTTAGTGTATAACGTGAAGAAGTCCGACTCACAATAGTTGTGTGAGACAGGCTGTAGTATTGTCATTCTCCAGCTGATGGCGAGCTCAGAGCACAGAACTTGGAAAAACCTCAGCAGCACAAGTTCAAGGCACTGCAACAGTCAGCAGTTAAACAGCGGACTCTTTCACCCACTCGTTTCCAGTAACCTTGTCATTAGGTGGTTGTGCTAACCCCGTATCAAACCTGTCCGCTCCCTCCACTCAGCAGGCTCCGGCCCGCCCCACCACCGGCCGGCCGGCGGGCTTTCAGCCTCTCCGCCCCCACCCTTTGGAACGCCATATCACAGCCTCTCCACCTCGCTTCCTTCCTTGCCTCCTTCAAGGCGCGTCTCAAAAACCCTCCTCTTCGACCGAGCCTTCGTTATTATTATTATTATTCTTCCATCGGCTTGGGCTCAGAATCGCGGGCGACACTCCAGTGCAGAGCTAAAGAACGTTGCTTTATCGGAGATGCTATTCCCCCCAGTATTTGCAGATTATCAGGTGCTACATTATAATCACTGCACTTGAAGTAACTCACTCTATGAAGCACTTTCTGACATTTCAACGTCCTTTTTAAGTGGAAGGAACCCTTTTGCTGTTGCCCCAGTTAAATCGCAGCCACTAACCGCAGAGTGATGGACGCTGGCAGGAATGAATTGAACTTTGCCAGTTTGTGCTTTCTGTTCGGGTAAACCAATGCTCTCCCCGCCCTGACTTACACAGTTGATAATTGCTTTGCTAACTACGTGTGTATGCCAACTGCATCTTTCACCTCAGTAAAGAGTCGACAGCCCCACAAACCTTTAGAGCGATCCAGCGACCGTCTGAAAAGCATTTTAAACTCGAGATTAATGTTTAAAGAGGGCAGTGTGTCTTGGCCACTAAGATCGTTACATTGTGCAGAAGTAAACTCTCTCTGTTAGGGAACCAAATAACGTTCGTAAGAGTAAATGCTTTGCTGGAAACAATCGCCTGAGAAACAGACAAGTGTACTATATATATATTATATATAATATATAATAAGAAAAATAATAATCCTTGCAATTGATATAGCACTTTATATTGATATAGCGCATTTCGCCCACAAATATACAGTCAATTCACTTTACAGTCTATTCTGTGAAGAGCTTTGTCCAGAAGACGTGAAAAGCGCTATATCAAATGCAAGGATTATTATTATTATTATTATTATCACGTCTTTTCGAGTATATTGTACCTCATGTAATACCTGAAATCATCTTCCAATGGCTTCCACAATGCTCATTGGGCATTTCACTCCTCAAGAAAACCAAGTGTCATTCAAACAAGGGACTATTGTCATTCAGATTGTGTGGCGGTGGCTGTTCCTGCTACGCCTTGTGGCTTCGCTTTAATAAGTATCAGGAGCCAGAGGTTGACATTTAATAGTTCACTCCTGCAGTATCTGAACTGCCTGGAGCACGGAGCCCAGGCAATAAGATCCAATCAGAGGTTAAATGAAGTGACCACATCCATTTTAGCAAAAGCAAACAGAAACCCCACTCAATGTCAAAAGGTGGTTCAGTACCTTGGGACGTCCTCCCGATGTGAAAGGCGCTATACAAATGTAATTTGTTGTTGTTGTTGTTGTCTGCAATCAATCCTCACCTACCATTACACAGTCATTTAACAATAGATCCTGTGAAGCACTTTGGCAACGTGTTAATAAAACAAAGTGATAATAACAATCCTTGCATTTGATACAGCGCCTTATCACATCTTCGAGGCGTCTCAAAGCGCTTCACAGAATATGCTATTGAGTGAATTGACTGTAGATTTTGTGGGCGAAACGCGGCAGGCATATGCGCGCAGCAGTGATGGGATACTTTATTAAATGAAAAGATTTACACGTCCTCGTGAGCAGAATACTGGTCACTCTGAGGTTTTCGTTCAGGGGAAAAAAATATTTCACGTGTTAAACTGCTAAATTCCCCACATTGTTTGTTATGACAATTGAGACACAAATGATGGGTCAATTTGACCCCGTCTGTAAACTGTACATGAGATCTCTAAAAGGGCACCCGCGGCAAGCAAGAACCCTGAGCTCTTTAGCAAGAAATTCTGAAATTGCATAAGAAGTGATGAAATTGGATTCGCAACAGGCGAAGGATAAATAGAGGGCACACTTCACGGGTTGGTGGTTTGTGTGAAAGCCACAAAGTGGCACCAGACATAACTCAAGAGAGCCACAGGCAAGATTAGTTGGTTCCAACAAGAGTGAATTACATTCTGCAAACCACAAGCTCCCGTTCGATGTCTGCTTGCTTAACACAACGACTTCACTCAAGATTTAGTCACTCTGTGACTTAGCATGCGTTTTATTTACTGGTTTCTGGCCTTGATGCATGCACTTACTCTTTGCTGAATGGAGCCCGTTCATTCTCAGCAACATAGCGTGTAGGACCAGCGAAAACCAGTGTAGATCCATCTAGTCGGGCCCAAAGCAACAAAACTGTGCAAAAATAATTAGAATAACGATCCTCTGCTGCTGGAGAAATAAAAAATTAGAATAACGATTCTCCCATTACTGCTCGATTGATTTCTTCACCAAATAGCTACTCAAAATCTGTTTAAAGTGTTTTCATTTATCGCCATACTTTCCCCCACTGAAGGAAATCGAATAATTGTGTAGATTCATCGGCTGAATGTGTAGTGGAGATTTTGTTTAATAAACTGCTAAATACTTTCTGCATGTCGTTCCTCAATCTCTCGATCCCACCATCGACAGCCTAGCCTTCGGACACTGTGTCTCCACTTCCTGGAATTTTACTCCCAAAATCCCTTTTCCTTACTCCTCCCTCTGCCTCAAAAACTCTCCGTAAAACCTATATTCTTTGTTTGGTCAAAATCCTTAAATACTCCTTCCTACGATCTATGTCAAGCACTTTCATCCTTTCACCCTACACGAAAGGTGTTGCTTAAGTTGTTTTAAATTTAGATCTGGACTCTTAGATCATTTACTCCAATAAGTCATTGTTTTATTCCAGTTATATCCTTAAGCCGCATGTGACCCGCTCAAGATATCCTCACAAAGCCTCATAAAATGTCGGAGAAAGATTATTCATTATGCTTTTCTGGCACCCTCTTCCTCCTTCCCCTTCTCCACCCGCCTCCCTTTTTCCTCTCATTCAATCCTCAGCTCAGGTGCAGTTGCAAGAATCATAGAGCAGGAATCATAGAGGTGCAGGAATCAAACTCACTCTCCTCTCTGCGTAGATTCTGTCTGACCTGCTAAGTGTTCCCAGCAACTTCTGCTTTTATTTCATAGAGCTGACACAGCTCCACATGTACACTGCCCCTCGCCCTGCCCTTAATCAGTACCCTGAGGGCTGGTTAGAATACAGTTCTTGTAACTAATAAAGAACGAGGCTTAGGGGTAGCTGGGGAGACGAGAATACCAACTCATACTCAAAGTGAGCGATGTTCCTTCCTGACATGTAGAACGATGGGAAGTAAGTTAGAGCGAGCGCCGTGATGGCGGAAAGCTATCACTTATAGTGTACTCTAAGGCCCACAGAATTACATTAAAGGATCAGGGTTAATGTTTTATTTCCCACATGCGTCTGGGCCAAGGAGCCGCTGTAATCTCTTACCAGGGAGACAACTGCGGATTCTTTGTAGGGCTGGAATTTAAACCGCTGAATCTTCTGCACAAAAGGATCATGAAATTCCAAATGTTCTTATACCACAGTAGCTATCAGATTTCCCCTGTAGCGCTTGTGTAAATATAATTCCCGCCACCACGGCAACGAGATTTGTACTCGACATAAATCAAGTTGCACGCTGACTCCCAGCCTGCTCTTTTCTGTCTCACCTCCTTCACCAGTCTTGCTGTCGGGCAATGCTTTAAAGTGCAGAGTGATATTAACGCTGGTGGTTCTGCCTGTTAAACACCACCGCTGATATTAAACTTTTTTTTTAATCAAAATCCATCCGAAGGGTAGAAAGGATTTGTTTCTAACTTTGTTTGCAAATCGCAGAAGTGTTGCATTGATTGTGTCCTAACCCAACCTTGTTAACAGCC